GGGGGGCGGCCCGCCGGGGCCCCGAGGTGGGCGAACCCTCGGCAGGTAGCTGCCGCCGCCGCGGGAGCCGGGGGCCGCCCTCCGCCTCCTTCCTCCCCGCTCGCTCGCTCCTCGCCTTGTTACATTGTAGCCTTTTCTCTCCGCGAGCGGCGCGCCCGCTGACGGACGTGGCCGCCGACCAATGGGAGCGGCGGCCCGGGCCGGGCGTTCGGAATGAGAACGCGGTGACACGGGCGGGGCGGGGCGCGGGCGCCCGAGGGCTCGCCGCGGCCGCCGGCCTAGTTCTCGCGGACGCCCTCGGCCCCGCGCCGGGGGCTGCTGCGAGGGGCTCGGGGATGAAGGTGGGAGGCGTCCTTCGGGATGCCAGGAAGCCTTCTCCATCGCGAAGCGTGGCCGAGCCGGAGGGCGTTTCTGGAATGCGTTTCAAGTGTTAGTTGCGGTGTAGACTCTTCGGGAACCCTCTCCGGAGCGTAGCCTCCACCCCCCACTCGCAGTCCCCAAGGTACTCGCCTATGCAGAAACTGCAGAAACTTAGCGGCCAATGACCTCGCTCCGGTCAAGGCCAGCGTGCCCCAGGCGAGTCGCTGCAAAGAGAATACCAATGTCTTGGGCGATGCTGGTGTAAAGTTCTGGTGTGTGTCCAGAGCCCAGCTGAGAGAAGGGGGCTTAGACCCCCCGCCCAGGCTGGGCTGGGATTTAGGAGAGAAAAATCTGAAACCTCTCCTCTTCCCTAGACGCTTGCTTCGTGTGGAGAAAGGCTGTGCTATATAATTTGGAGTGGTTGCAGGGAAACACACCCAGCTCTTTGTGCGTGAGCCAGGATGCAATAATGAGAGATTGCTCTTGGTACCTGAAAACCCTGTAAACTTTGGGGGTTTGGGGAGAGAAGAATTTTCCGTGGAGCGTGATGCCTGTAGCACCCAAGCTGGTCTTTGCCCACGTTTCTCCTTGAGAGGAAGGAAGGTTGGGGCTTTCCTAGGGTCATTGTGTGGGGTGTGGGGTCATGGTTGGGGAGCAGATTCTCTGAAAGGTGGACAGGCAGAGTGCTGTTTGGCATGTCTGGAAGCCTGCCCTTCTGGGAGTAGAGCCCTAGCCTCTTGCTGTATTCAGTCTCATGGAAAGGGTTTCTCTCTGAATTCTACCTCCCCGGTACGGTCGCTGTGTGACTTTGGACTTCACATCGTTGTCTTTGGCCTTTCTGAGCCTTGTGTCTCCATCCCTAACATAAGCCCAACAAAACCTGAAGGGCAAGGCAGTTGTGAAATTAAATGAGATAGCAAAGATGAAATGCCTATTCTAGGGCCTGGCATACTGTTTAAGAAGTGTTTCCCCCCCACCCCCGCCCCAGAATCCCTGCAGAATATACTGTCCTAGGGCTATCAATTTCCCCGCAGACCCCAGTGTGGTCCAACCAGTCTCAAATTGACAGGGCCCCCAAGGAACAGCTGGTGGCAGGGTTTCGTTTCCTGAGATGAAGGACTCCCCTCACTTGTCCCTGGAGTCCTCGATGGGTCAAAATAGCCATCACCTCTGCACTTGCAGACTCATTTGACCTGAGTTACAATTCTGTCGTCTAGACTTCCTGGGTTGATGTGTTCCATCAATTTGTTCTCCTTGGTGTCAAGTAGGATTTCTTTTATTTGGATCTGCCCTCTCCTGGACTTAAAAGGAGTTTCCCTGGTTCCAGGTTATTGTCAAGTATGAAGTAAAGAGCACTGGACCAGGAGTCAGGAGTCCTACCTGTGGCTTCAGATGCCTCCTTAGCCCGGTCTCTTGGCTATCTTATAAGCATGACAAACACACGGGCCAGAGCTGTCCGTAATCTTCCTCTCTAAACCTCTTCTAGGGCTCTGATCTCGGGCAAGAGCACAATGTCCCACTACTCTTTAAGGCAGAAGCGTTGGTGTCTCTGCCTGTCTCTCTCATCCCAATCTGCTCCATCTCCAGGCCCAGATAACTTTATCCTCTCAAATGAACCCATCCACTTCTCTCCATTTCCCTCTTCCCCAACGTGGTAGTCAGGCCATCACCGTCTCTCCCCAGGACAACAGCAGGAGCCTGCTGATGTACACCTGCAACCTCCCCTTCTTGGCAGTCAGAGTGATCTGTTCCAAATCGGATCATGTCAGGGATCCCATTTCCTGCTTGAAACACCTAGAAGTCTTTCCAGTGTGTGGAAGATAAAGAACCAAATTAGTGCAGTGATCTAAAAGCTTCTGAGTGATCTGGCCCCTGCCCTTGACCTCATCCTCTACCGTCTCCTAGGTCTCTCTGAACACCATACTGATCTGTCCTACACAGCCTGGACTTTCCTCCTCAAATCCTGAAGCTGTTGTCATCTAATGAATGAATTAAGGTTAGCGAAGGGCACAGTGGGATGGGAGTGTCTGGGGTCCTTAATGCTTTCCTCTTACTATTTCCGATTCTTCCAGGTCCACAGTAGGTTGACTAGAGCTCTATCCGCTTGGGGGGGGGCCCTGTAACTGGCTGGTGAGTTATAAATCACAGCGATACATGTCACTTCTGGGCTGCAGCATTTAATTGCTGGTTAGACCTTCCACAGTGCACTTTCCCTGTGACATGGCAACTAGTAGGAACATGGGATGAGGGTGGCCGCTGCCAGCCTGAATCCCTGAGTCACTCCATGTGTGAAGCCCTTGGTGATCCATGATGAGCATGCAACATGAGTGATAACTAAACCTTTGTTGTTTTAAACAAACAGTGAGCTGTTGGGGCTGTTTGTTACTGCAGCATAACTTAGCCTGTGCTGACTGATAGGGACTAGAGAGGCATTTTAGGCAGAGACAAGTAGTGCATGTGCAGTTAATACACAGAGAGAGGACCCTGACTTGGAAAGCAGCCAGGGTGATCTTTTCGACATGCATATCTGAGCTTATAACCCCCTGCCTGAAAGACCTTCAGAGACTTCCACGGCTGCTAGGAGAATGACAGAAATCCAGCTGCCCTCCAGTCTCTGTGGGAACACCGTCTTTTGTGCCTCCCATTTGTCATATGTTCTGCCTAACATGGGGCTTCCTCATGCTGTTCCTTCTGCCCTGACCTTGCATTCCACCCTCCTCCTGATGAGGCCTCCTCATCCTTCCTCCCCTGTCTTCACATCCCCTCTTCAGGGAAGCCCTCCCTGATTAGGCTGAACCCCCTTCTTTAGAGCTCTCTTGGCCCACCTACCTCTCCTTTGGAGCACTCACATCCATAGCAACTTTCTGCTTATTGGTGTAATGATCTGGTTGTAGCCTTGCTCTTCCATCAGACTCTAAGCTCTGACAGCGTTGGCTTGAGTGTGCTGTTGGGTTTGTACTTGAGAGTTGCTCACCAAACACCTTCTGCTGAATCCTTGAGCGTGGATAGAGAGCTCAGTGTGTGCTGGGGACTGGGGACAGGATGAGTGAACGCTGCTTCCCTGAGCAATGGGCTGGTGGGTTCAGCTGGATGGAGGTGTTAGTCATAGCTGGCAAAATGACTGGCTTGTAGAGGACAGCTGACACGTTCCAATCCTTACAGGTGTTTATGGCCAGGAGGACTGTGTGCCAGGGATGTAGCAGAGGATATTCCAGGAAAGCAGGAGGATGAGAGTCAACATCCCTTGAGGTCCCTGCTGATCTAGACAGTATATGATTCAGTGAAGGGGCTGCAGAGCGGGCGATCTGGGGAAGATGAAGAGGAATAAGAAAAAGATGATGATGATGATGGCAGCTAATGTTTTTTGAGGGCTTATTGTGTGCCAGGTGTGGGTCTAAGCATGTCACATACCCTGTGCTGAAAACAGCTCCACAAGCTAAATAGTACTTCTGTTTCACAGATTGAGAGACTGAGTCTCCAAAAGATGAGGTAAAGGACCCAGGGTTAATGGTGTGGCCAGGATTAGAACCCTAGCAGTCTGAGGCCACATCCTTAGTATGCCCTCTTGGAATGAGGGCAGAGAACCCCAAGCCCCCTGGGGAGAAGCCCCTTTGGAAGCACCATGTGGGGTTATAAAGCCGTCAGGGGAGAGCAGGCCTCCAGTGGGGTAACACCTACCTAACATTGGGGTTTGAGCATGGGGTTCTTGGCTCAGAGGTGGCTAGGGGCCCTGGTGCCCGGGCTGATGTAAAACTGTCTGGTGCCTCTCTACCTCCTGCTGGAGGCTGCGAGTCCTTGGAGGCCACAGAGCCCCATGTTCTCAGAGCGGGGCCTGGGAGGGGTGTCCCGACAGCTGACCCTGGAGCTGTGCTGGAAAAACAAGCTGTGCAGAAAGAGAAAAGAAAATTGTGCTGTTGTTTTTTTAAAAAAGCCTGTTTCCTATTGCAGATTTGTGTCTGTTGAAAAGGCCAGTGTTCACACAATGCAGCCACCTTGCTGGTGGTGGCCCCGGACTGTGTTGGCTCTGCTGGGGAGGCCTGGACCACAGTCTGGGTATGATTTGGCCCTTCTTTCATTGACCAGGTGGTGAGGGCATGCATGCCATCGCTGTGCCAGGCACTGTGCTGGGCCTGGGCGGTGCCATGTGCAAGTGAGTCCTTGCCCTTCCAGAGCTCACAGATCAGTCTGGGAGTTGGGCAAAGAACCAGGTCGTTGCAACGTACAGCAGAAGAATGCGAAGGAGACATCACTCACTCTAAGTCAGGAAGGCTTCCCTGAGGAGGAGGCCTTCAGGCTGGGCTAAGAAGAGTGAGTAGGATTTGGAGAGCATAAGAGGGGAGAGGCTTCAGGCCCGGGGCATGGCTTGTCCAGAAGTGTGGGTGCGTGGAAGGGACTGGGGAGGCTTGAGTAGTTCATTCAGGTCAAGAGTAAGTGTAAGGGGACGAGACGGAGGCGGATGAGGCTAGAAAGAGAATGACAGTAATAATAGTTTGACTAACACTAGTCCCAGTCCTCAGCATTGGTCGCATCCTCTCCCTAGATTACTCTTGCCCCAGTTATCTCCATGGCAGACCCCCTCCCCTCCCCCAGGACTTCTGCTTAAACACTGCCTTCTCATGGGCCTTTTTTTTTTTTTTTTTTTTTTTTGAGACAGGGTCTTACTCAGTCGCTCAGTCTGGAATGCAATGATGCAATCTCGGCTCACTGCAACTTCCGCCTCCTGGGTTCAAGTGATTCTCCTGCCTCAGCCTCCTGAGTAACTGGGATTACAGACACATACCACCACACTCGGCTAATTGTTGTAGCTTTAGTAAAGACAGGGTCTCACCATGTTGGCCAGGCTGGTCTTGAACTCTTGACCTCAAGTGATCCACCTGCCTTGGTCTCCCAAAGTGCTGAGATTACAAGTGTGAACCACCGGGCCCGGCCATGGGCACTTTCTCGTTTAAAATTGCAACTCACCCCAACACCCTCTCTCTGCTTCCTGCTGTTTTCTCTCTTTAGTGAATAGCACTTATCCCGTGCTCCATGTTTGACTTTTTAATTTTGTTTTCCATCTGCCTCCCATCATTATAATGCAAGTTTCCAGAGAGCTGGGATTTTCTTTGGTTTTGTTCACTGCTGTGTGAACAGTATATGTCATATAGTAACTAGAGCTTCAAATACTTGTAGAATGAGTGGATGAATTGAGCACCTACTATGTGCAAAGTGCCTTACCTGCTTTGTCTTTTTAAATCTTCACAGCGGTGCCCTGATCGTGGTATTGTTATTTCTCCATTCTACAGTTTAGGAAACAGGCTCAGAGAGGTCACGTCACTTGCCCAAGGTTTCACAGTTGGTAATGAAATTCAAACTCAGGGCACTGGATTCCTGAGCCCTCCGGCCTAACCCAGATACTTGGCCCTTACTAGGCTGTCACAGGTCCTGACTGCTGTGCTGAGGAGGAGTTTACACTCTGTCTGTTGGGCCACAGGGAGCCTCAGAGGGTTTTATGAGGAGGAAGCTGACATGGTGATCAGATCCACGTTCCGAAACACAGCAGGAGTGGCTTGGGCATGAGGCTGGAGGCAAGAAGACCAAATAGGAGGCTTTCTTAGTAATTGAGGCAGGAGAGGATGACGGTAAGAGCCGAGAGTGACGATTCCCAGGGAGAAGTAGGGGAACTTGGTCCTCTATAGTAAAGGTCAGAGCGGATGGGTTGGGGCTCAGCTCTGGGGACCAGATGTCTCCTCGAGTGCGCCTGACTTCTGCTTCTGAGTAGCAAGGGGACCTGCAGATAAAAATCCAGCAAAGTACTTCAAGCTGGTCCCTTGACAGGGAAAGGGAAACTGAGAAGGATTCAGGGAGCTGGCTGGCGGGGTCCACGCTGTGCCCTGGAGAGGGTGTGGGCCCCACATTCAGTCTTGCTTCTGGCACCAGGTAGCAGTGAGATCTAAGCAGGAGGCTGCTTCTCTTGGAGTAACCCATTTTCTCATCTGCAGAATGGGGGTGATGCCACTATCAGCCTCTGAGGGCTGCATGGACAGCTCCAGAGAAAGACAGAGCGCCAGAGAATGGCTTAGGGCCAGTGTCAGGCCATCTCCTGGGTGTGAGGCCAATGGATGTGGGGGAGGTATGGGGGTCCTCTTGTGCCCCTTGCTGGGGATGGGATGGCAGTGCCCGGATATGAGACAGTGAGTGTGTCTGTACTTAAAGGTGATCTGGCCGTAGCCTCAGACACTCATGCTGCCCCAGTGTCTTGTGTTTAAGGCAAGATATTTAACCTCTCTGGGCCTCAGTTTCTTTTCTGTAAATGGACTCAGTAATATCAGACCTGCCGTGCATTCTGTGGAAGACTTTTTCCTCTGTGTTTGCAGGACCGAGTTTAAGATGCTATTATCTCTGGGTTGGTAACCAGCTGGACAAAACACGTAGGGAGCACCAGGACACTGACAAAGGTCCAGTGAGATTACTCCCGCATCCCCTGATGGATGAGGAAGCTTGGGGCTCATAGAGGTTACGTGACCAACTCAAGGCCACACAACCATCATCTCATTGTTCGGATCTCCTTAAGAAGGCCACATTGATAAAGGAAGCCTTTGGGATTGCCTACTTGTATTACATAACAATTCCCAGAAGGTTTCTTGGGCAATTTAAAAATAGGATTTGGGCTGGGCACAGCGGCTCATGCCTGTAAACCCAGCACTTTGGGAGGCTGAGGTGGAAGGATCGCTTGAGTCCAGGGGTTTGAGACCAGCCTGGGCAACATAGTGAGACCCTGTATTTACAAAAAAATAAACAGAATTAGCTGGGTCTGGTGATAGGTACCTGTAGTCCCAGCAACTTGGGAGGCTGAGATGGGAGGATCACCAGAGCCTAGGGGATTGAGGCTGTGGTGAGTTGAGATCACACCACTGTATTTCAGCCTGGGAGACAGAGTGAGACCCTGTCTCAGAAAACAATTATACATTAATCAAAACAGGATTTGATTTATAGAGTCTTGGTTTCAGACTTTCTCCCATCCCAGAAACCTCACAGGTCAGAAGTTACGGGCACATTCAAACAGACCAAGAGCCTCCACTGAAATGATACTGGGTAGGGGAGTGGAGTAGAGAGCGGGCAGATAGTTGCTGGCCATCTTGCTCCCAAGCAGCAGCCTCAGACCAGGGGTTGGTGCTAATGGTAGGGGGGTTCCCTGCTTGCAAAGTGAGGCACCCCAGGCCTCTGGAGCCGTCAGTGCCTTCTGGAGCATTCCCTTCCAGTCCTCTCTACCCTACCTGACCTGATCCATAAGAGCAACCAGGACTCTCTTCCTCTCAACTGCACCTTCTACTGATCCCCAGTCACTAGCCCAGGCAGGTTGACCCTTAAACCCCATATTGTATAGCTCAGAAAACTGAGGCTCAGAAGGGGGATGTGACTTGGAGCTCATACAGTTTAGGGAGTAACCAAGCTAAAATTCTGACCCCAAATTAACACCCCTTCCTCTGCACCCCAGTTCTTCTCCTGGAATCACAGCAGAATGGGGACCCCAGAGAGTTGTTGCAGCCTCTGCCCCCTGCAACAGAGGTTGTCCACGACTGCATGAATATCAGGGAGTGTGACTGGAAGGAGCTTGGGGTCGAAAGGGGGGTGGCGGCCAGTGGGCGCCTTCCCCCAGGCTTGTGGCAGAGTTGGGGGCGAGAGTGGGACCAGCAGGCGGGAGGATCACTTTGACTAGGGCACTGAGCTGGGCTGGTATGGACGTCACTGAGCAAGTAAATATGGAACCGCCCCCACAATGTCAGCTTTCCCGGAGTGGCTTCTCCCACTATCTCTCACTTTCCCCAAGGGAAAGGGGTGAGGGCCAGCAAAGGATCCGGCTGCCTGATGCCAGGGAATGGAAACGCCTGGCTTGGGAGGCTCCAGGACGGCCGAGGGGCATGGGGAGCAGCTCACCAGACCCTTGGCCCCAGCAGGAAGTGAGCTTCTTGTAGGAGCAGCTGACTGGGACCCAGCCGGGGCGGACTCAGCACCATCGTGGCCTAAGGTACAGAGAGGGTGGGCTCTGGGGGCTGCTGGGAGGTGGTTGGCTGGGGCTCGTCCCTGACCTCACAGCCCTTTACTGCCCCAACCCAAACAGAATGGCATTTTCTCAGGGGGCAGGGGTGCCCCTCTTTAGGGCAGCCTTGTCCCAAGAGAAAGCAAGCCCAGCCAGAGGGAGCTGGCATTTGGAGAGGGGGTACAGTGGTGCCCCAAGTAGGGGTGGAGGGGGAGGAAGGAGAGAAGCCCCTTGGCCTGCAGGAGGTGGAGGGCAGGGAGGTGAAGTCCTCAAAGCAAATCAGCAAACTTAGCAGCCAGGGAAACCAGCAGTCTCTCTTGACCCCAAAGAGAAGATACTGGGTCTCCTGGGAAGGGTGAGCAGAAAAGGAGGATCCAGGGCAGAGTTTCCAGCTGCCAGATCCTGGGCCTTTTATAAACATTAGTGACAGCCAAGCCTGAATGAGTGTAGATGGGCATGTTCCCTTCAACCCTCACAGCTGCCCCATGATGCTAGTGTTATTACGTGCGGTTTACAGAGGTAACATGGAAGTCCCGAGAAGTGAGGTGACTCACCTAAGGTCACACAGGTATGAAAGTCTAAGCCAGGATGGGAACCTAGGTCTGTCTGATTCCAGAGTCTGAGCTCTTTATCACAGCATGGGACTGGCTTGCTGGGACTGCGGTGGGAGATACCATCAGTCATCCATGCGGGGCAGGAGTTTGGACAGCTAACTTGCTGATTCCACGTTCCTGCCCCGAGAGGCTGGACAGTGTAGAGAAAGTACAGCACGTGGGCCACTATGGCTCGGGCAGCTCACCCTCTCTGTGCCTTTACGTGACCATTTGAGGAATGGAAGGCCTGTCACAAGGACCACCCATGTTATGGCATTTTCAGACTTTCCCATCCAGCGTCTGGGACAGCAGATGTTCATGGAGTAGCCCCTTGTTCTCTGGGGTCCAGACATACACACCTGACTCTGGATAGGCCCTGCACCAGGTTCCATCTGGAACACCGGGAGCACAGTGGCTCTGTCAGGCCATGGAGTCCGTGGTCCCCAGACCTCCGCCCATCCTGAGCTGTGCAGGTCGGGTCTGCGGTGAGAGGCGTGCAGACTTGAGAAACTTGTTTGGCAACTTGACATTGCCACATCCTTTTTAATTTTATTTCACAAAAACATCTGTTGGCATCAGATTGGAAAACTTAAAAAATAGAGAAGTCACTTTACCCCAAATTTCTTGAGCTGCTCTTGCTTGGGTCCTATGATTGAAGGTAGGAAGCACCAGTCTTGCTCATGGATCCGGGGCCAAGGAGAACAAGTCATTTCGCCCTGGCAGGTCGGGAGGGAGGATCTGGTTAGGTTTCCTGGAGGAGGTGACGAGGAGCAGGGGTTTGCCAGGCGGAGGGAGAGGGAAGAGCATTTTAGGCTCGGGGAACAGTATCTGCGAAGGCAGGCAACAGGAGGATCCCATGGTTTGGGAATGGCAAGCGGTCTTGGGTGTTTAGAGAAGCAGTGGAGATGGCTGGGGAGGGGCAGGTGCGGGCCAGGCTCCGAGGGCCTTGAATGCTGTGTGAAGGAATTGAGACTTTGCCCTGGAGGCACTGGGGAGCTCTGAGTGGTTTGTAAGCAGGAAGGGGAAGTAGTTAGTTAGCTTTGCATTATAGAAAAGGTGGCAGTGGACTTGAGGTGGTGGCCGTGGCTGAGTAGGTGGCTTACAGCAGTGGTCTCCAAGCTTTCTGGCACCAGGGACGATTTCCTAGAAGACAATTTTTCCATGGACGGTGTCGGGGAGGATGGTTTTGGGATGAAACTGTTCCACTTCAGATCATCAGGCAGTAGTTCGATTCCCATAAGGCGTGCACTCCTAGATCTCTCACATGTGCAGTTCACAGTAGGGTTTGTGCTTCTGTGAGAATCTAATGCTGCCTCTGATCTGACAGAGGCGGACCTCAGGCGGTAATGCTCGTTAGCCTGCCCACCACTCACCTCCTGCTGTGAGCCCGGTCCCTAACAGGTCATGGACTGGTACCCGTCTGTGGCCCAGGGATTGGGGACCTCTGCCTTAGAGGACCAAAGAGGCCATTCAGGTGTGTGCCTCCTTTCTGCCATTCCCCTCCCGGGAGGCTGTTCCTTGGTGGTGTCTGGTGGAAGAGATTGCTGATGCACAGGCCTCTCTTTGACCCATGAGTTGGTCCTGGCTGATGGGCAGGCAGCCCTCTGGTGTGAGCAGCATGGCCTTTCCAGGCTGGCCTGGTTGCTGGGCTCACACCTGGTGTCACAGGCTGGCCATGGCAGAAATCTCTTGTCCTCACTGCCTGTCCTACCACAGCTGCAGGAACGTGGACTGGTAGGCTGTCACATGGATGCTGGGTGCAGTGTGGGGACAGTCCAGAGCCGTGTTCAGGGACAGCTAGCAGGAGAAGGGAGGGCTGAAGTTTGGGCTATTGCCCAGGCCCTGGGCGCCTGGTCTCTGATGGCATGGGGTCTGCGTAGGAGGTGACCAGTGGGTAGCAGCCTGAGGTGGCTTCCTGCATGGATCCTCTGACAGGCCAGGGCTGAAACCTGTATCTGTGGCCTGAGGAGGAAACAAACATCTCATTGAGACAGCGAGGGAAGTTTCAAGCTCCAGCCTAGTCCAGCTCAAAGCAGCAGACGGTGCAGTGTCAGGGAGTCGCTGGGCTTCAGCTAAGTCGCAGCCTCCGATCTCTAGAGCAGCTGACCTGCCCTGTCCCGGGGATGCTGGGAACAGACAAGGTGTGCCTGGGCCTGCATGTGGCCACAAGCCCACAGAAAGCACGGGCCTGCCCAGGAGGGAGCTGTTGGAAGCGCCTCTTCTCCCTGCCCCACCTCCACCCTCCTCTGGGGCCCCAGTTCAGGGTGGCCCAGCCTCTGCCTCCCTCCCTGCAGCTCCCAGACAGGCTGGGCCCCAGCAGCAGGCCGGGCTGTCTGGCTGCTGTCCAGCAGGGAGTCCAGCTGCCGGGGGTCCTGCAGAATGGGGCTGGGCAGCCATTCTTCTCTGTCCAGGCTCTGGCTTCAGGGCCAGGAAGGCAGGAATTGTGGAGGTACCTTAGTTTTGAAAGTGGCCTTGGTCACGTGTGGAGGCTCAGGGCTAGAGTGCTCGCCCTGTCTGCTCTATCGCCCTTGGTTGGTCCTGTCCTGCACTCAGTACTTGCCATAGACTGCAGGCCTCCCTGATGGGAGCTGGGGAGCAGGCCCTGGGACAGCTGAGCCCACGTTGGGCTTCGTCTCTGCTCCACCCTTCCCCAAAGCTGATTCTTTCACTGTGCAGGCCTGCTGAGACCTCCTTGCTTCTCGGTGCCCCCGCTTCTCTAAGGACAGACACGCTGAGCCTGTTCTGTATGGCTCCTGCCACTTCTCAGCGAGACCCGTCCCCCCCCCCCCCCACCAACCAAATTAAATCCTCCAAGGCCGTCCATGTCCGGGTCCAGGGGCACAGTCCAGCACCTTTGCTCATCGCAGCCTGTCTCACCCTCTCCCAGGGACTGCGCTCCGCCTTCCCTCTCCTTGAGCCCCCTTCCTAGTTCCGAGACCTACCCTGTCCCAGTTCCCTGGGCTACCTGTGAGGCAAGGACTCACTGGTCCAGCTCCCAGGGTCTGCTCCCCAGGCTTCAGTTAGAAACCGGACTCCTCCCTGGCACCTGCCAGTGGCTCCCCTGCCCTCCTGAGCACTCTGGCCCTAGGCCCAGGACAGTGGCCAAGAAAGTCTCCTCTGCCCTCTCAGACTCACTCTGGTTTCTTCCTGGGTCCTTCTCTCCTGGAGAACTCCTCTGCCTGCTGCCTCCTAGGCCCGGCAGTGGGCTCCTTCCTGGCTGCCCTGGGCTCCTGGCCTGGCAGCAGTCTGACTGCTTCTGGAGCTCAGTTGTTGCCACCTCCTTTTCTCAGTGCCCAGTGTCTGGGGCGTGGGTGGGCTTCACATTTTGTGCGAGTCCCTGTGGTTCACAAAGAGGCTAAGTGGGCCAGGTGTCATTTCATCTTTGCGGCACGCTTGGGAGTAACTACTTGGGAGTTCGCCCAGTTTGCAGATGAAGGAGTTGAGGCCCCACAGGTTCAGTGACTTTGTCAGAGTCTTGTGGGAAATCAGGGACTCAGACCCACGTGTCCTGACTCTTCTCGTGACCCCATAGCTGTCTTGGAGATAATGGCCTTTTTGGTCTCTGCTTGCTGTATTGTCAGGGCCCAGTTCCTGCCTAGGATCAGGGTCTGGCCAAGCCTCACAGGTTCAATCTGTGTTTGGGGCTTATTTTGCTGCCTGGGCCATTGCCTGGGCTTAGTACTGGTCACGGTCAGCGGCAGTCAGCCCTGCGAGCATTTAACACTGCTTTCTCCTCCTCCTTCCTCCCTGAACTCTTGCCCTCAGTGCCAGGTCCTCTTAGGGACATACACAGCCTTTATCCCCGAAGCTGGTCACACTGGCCAGGGCTGGGGGCTGCTGGGACAGAATGGGCCATCTTTCTGTTTCACCCTTCCCCAAAGGGGGAAGGGAAGATGGGGACAGATGGCCAGAGGAAGGTGGACTCTGAAGAGCTGGCCTGTGTGCCTCTGACTGCCCAGCCTGTTTCTTCTTGTGTCACATTGAAGATCCACAACTCCCAGCCTCTCCCTTCTGTGGGGTCTAACGCTCTAGCTTCCTTACAGCAATTCTTGATGCGAGTAGAGAGAGCACAGGCTTTTGCTCTGACTTCCCTGCTGGGGCTCCTGAGGTTCAGAAGGGGTGTCTACCCCTTTAGATACCTTGTGGCATTTAAATTTCCTTTAATTCCCTGCACCCCAACAGAGCTGCTGGCATGCCTTCAGGGACTGGTAGCCCACTGGTTCCCAAGGCAGCTCATTGGATCTTTTAATTTTTGTTTTACTACAAGCTAATTACATAAGGAATATACAAATATATTTTTATGTTGAGAAAAAATATTAACAAATAAGCTAAAGCCTTCCTTGATGACCAGAACATTCCAGATTCCTCTGCAGGGTTCACCATCGTTGTCATTGCTCTGGCATATATCCTTCTAGATCTTTTTCTATATGTTGACACACATAATTTATAGGAATACGTATCACTGCAGTGTGTGTGGGTGTGTGTGTATGTGTTTAAACAAATGGTTTCATGTAGTACAGATTATTCTGCAAATTGCTTTTCTCACTTAACATTGTATCTAGGAAATCTAGCCACACAGTAGGTTTTAGAAAGGATCATCATTTAACCATCCCCCCGCGGCTGACATTTGGGTTAATTCTGATTTTATTCTAGTGCCTTTTATTCTAGCGCATATCTAGAACAGCTCCTGCTGGGTCTGGGGAACCTTTTGCATTTTTTGAAGTTTATCGTGCAACATTTAAAATCTATCTGTTGAGACTGCACAGAATTAAATGTTTCCCGGTGAGTCCTTGACTATTGCTCGTTCTCCTTTTTAGAGCCAGAGAGAAAGTCAGCTCGCCTGGCCCCTGCTAGCCCTCAGAGAGTCGAAAACAGTGGCTGTGGCCCCTGGAGCCTTCTCTCCTTCACATGCAGGGTTTTCTGCCCTCACTCAAAAGGCATGGCTTTGGGCGACCCCTCTCTTGAGCAGCTGTTATAGGAAGTGAGCCCTGGAGTCATAATACCTCAGTTCAAATCCTGGCTCAGTCCCTAACCAACTGGGTACTCTGGGATGCCACATAACCCCTCTGTGCCTTAGTTCTATCCTCTGTCCAATAGAGATAACAGCAACACCTACATGCTGGCACTGCTGAGGACCGAGTGAGCCATGTGAAATGTTTACCATGTGCCATGCAGACCCACTGTAAATGCCCAATATTGTTACTTTCCTGGAGTGTCTTCTCTGCATGAGCCCTGGATCCCACCTCCATGGGCAGGAGGCCTGTGCTCCCATAGGGCAGCCTGCATGGATGTCTCCAGCCTTGGTGACGGCTTCATCCTGCTGTCCACTGACATCCTGGAGGAGGCTGCTGCCTGGGAATGCAGCGGGTGATCGGATTTCATCGCCTTGGCCCTGAAGGGTCTGGACCAGAGCCTACGGGGAGGGAAGAAGGTCACCATGACCTCTTGCTCGGCACAGGTGGCCAGGAGCCTGGTAACATAACCCCATCCTTCGGGCAGGTTTACAAGCTGTCAATGAGGTTCGTTGTGGCTGCGGATTTGATCTCCCTTGGCCTGCAGGGTGGGCAGGAGACGAAAGCAGCTTGGGGCCAGCCTTTCCCCTGGGAGTCCCGGGAAGGTCCGGGCCACACTGGCTGGTCCAGGCGAGGGTTTGCCTTGCAGTCCAGGGGGCAAATCGCTGCAGCTGACTATTTATTTAGTGCTGGAAAGCATGGTCTGTTTGCCCTTTTCCTTACACCCACCTCTCAGGCTCCAAACCACACTTAACACTGCTGCCTAAACAGTTCCTTATAGCCACCCTGTAAGAAACAGGCAACCTGGCCAGGGTCATTTCGCAGATGCATAAACTGAGGGTTCAGGAGGTTTTGCGACTCCCAAAGCCACACAGGTCACTGCCGGCAGGGCTGGGAATAGTAGCCAGGCCATCTGGCTCCCTGTCCAGTTCTTTTTCACGAGGCCACCTAATGTGACAGCCTTGGCAAAGGTGCCCAGCCACACAGCCCTGGTTGGCCTCCTGCCCTCTGGGCAGTGGCATGTGTGTTCAGTGAGCACAGAGGTTTGGGATTATTTCCTAAGAGATGAGAGGCACCATGGCTTGCCCCAGGCCCTGTCCTTCCCCAGCACCAGCCCTGGACCCTCAGGGTAGCCACAGGGGGCCGGCAGCAGAGGGTGGCTGCTGCAGCAGAGTCCCGTCTACCTTTCTGGGGTGAGGACTCGCTCTCTACACCTATCCCATGGTATGGGCAGGGGTTGCAGCGGCCCTGGGGGCTCCAGTGTTTCTCCCAGGGAGGCAGTCGAGCAGCCATGATTGGACCCATTTTTAGGCTGGAGATAGTGAGGCTCAGAAAGGCCAAGCAGCTTGTCTGAGCTGGTGATGCAAAGGAAACCTGAAACCCACCTTCTAATTCTAGATGTAGGCCTTGCTGATCCTGCTGCCAGCCCACAAAGAAACTGACCTGGCTTAGCTTTAAGAGCATGGTGTCAGAGGGACACAGGCTTGGGTTCTGGCTCAGCAAGAACTGCTCAGATTTACTGAGCACTGATGTGGCAGGCACTATCTGTGACATTTCACTTAATCCTCAAGGTAGCATCATGAGGTAGATACAGCGAGGAAACTGAGGCTCAGGGAAGCTAAGTGGCTTCCCAGGATCACACGGGGGGAAGCTGAGATTTGAATCATGGCAGTGTGGCTTCAGAGGATGTGTGGGAGCCACTATGCTGTCAAGCCTTTGATGGCCGGAGGGCCACTAAGGTAGCAGTGCACCTTTCTCACTCCTGGCATCATCCTGACACATGCAGGTGCTTGGTAAATGTGTCGAGTAAATCATCTCTGAACGAGTGCAAAGCTTTGGGCAAGCGACTCAGGCTCCCTGCATGCCCGTTTTCTCACCTTTCCTTCAGCCCTGATGGGGAGGGTCCAGTATGGTGATATCTGGAAGTGCTGAGTTCAGGGCTTGGGCCCTGGCAGTTGCAGTCACTCCGGGGAGACGGTGCCTGAATCGGGATGCTCTGAACTGGTCCTTTGGGTCTGTTTTGACCTTGATGGTGGGAACAACTTGGCAGAGAACCCCTGAGACCTGCTTGGATGCTTCTTGGGAGCTCAGCTTCTGGAGTTTACATGCCCCTGAGTTTTCATAGTCACAGAACACCAGAGCCAGCAGGTCCTAAAGGAAAATGAATCCCAATGGCCACATTGCACAGACGGGTAAACTGAGGCTCAGACAGGGAAAGGGATTTGTTTTAAGGAGTGGGCGGTACTGCTCCTAGCTGTCCGCACTGGAGCTCAGCTGTGTGCCCCAGGGACAGAGGCAAATTCCCTCTGCAGGGGTAGCTGTGTGTGTCACCTGTGACTGGCGTTGGTTTTCCTCTGGGCAAAACCAGGGGAGCCAGAGGGTCTGAAGACAGGCACTGGGCCAGCATTCACCCATTAGGACCACTCCCAGCCTATTGGGTGATTCAGACACACATTTTTCTTTTGATGTCATTTCGTTTCGATAAAGAGCCCATCTTTAGCCAAGGTCTTGGCCAGGGTCCCGCAGCGGTGGAGCAGGATTCCAGTGTGCCTTACCTACTGCCTTCTGAGGAGCCCTCTTTTGTTGCTTTTGTGGCCCCTGTGTATCCCAAAAGTGGGAGCAGGTGCCTGAGGATCAGGGGGGTACGTGGGATTTCCCCACCTCCGCTCAGATTTGCACTCTTTGTAAATAGCTCTGACAGCAGGATCTCTGCAGGAGGACTCAGTGCTAGCCTAGGCTCAACCATATGCCTGCTGTGTGGCTTTGAGTAAGTCCCTTTCCCTCTCTGGGCGTTGGTGCATCCCCTTGTAAAGTGAGACCGTGGAGCTCACTGATACCTGATGTTCTGCCCCTCCCAGAAGAAGGGGGTGCAGACCAATGCTTCCTCAGCCCCTATTTAAGTTACGGGATATTGAGGTCCTTGTCATTTGGGACACCTGAGCTTGGAGTTGAGAGTCAGGTTCTGGTACTGAATGGTCCTGAGAATGTGAAAGCACATGACAGGGTGTGGTGGGGCTCACCAAGATCCACTCTCCTCGCCCCATGGAGAACCTGAGGTTTGGCAGCCAGCAGCCAGCATGCGGGGAAGGCACAGCTCGCGGAGCTCATGAGATCCAGCTTTGAATCCTGGCTTTGCCACTTACCCCTAACTACCCACTTAACCCGTCTGAGCCTTACTCAGTTTCTGCACCTGAAAGATGGGGGATCTGAAACTTTCCTCCTGAGACTGAGGTGAGGATAGAACGAGTGGACGTGTGTGACTCCCCAGCACCCCGCAGGGCCCCGGTGGAGTGTACCCAGCGTCCTTTAGGTCTGCTGGGTGGGCCAGAGTAAGGTCAGGGAAAGCGCCAGAAGCTTTGCCAACAACCCAGGAAGCTGAGTCCAGAAATAGAAGACCCTGGAGACAGAGGCTCCAGATGGCCAGGCCGTACTCTGCCAGCCCTGGAAGGCCAGCCTGAGCTGGCAGTGCAGGCCTTCCCTCCCTCCTGGGGCTGTTGGCTGCATAAATTACTCGGCAGCCTTTGGGCTAATTTTACCTTCTTGGTTTTCATGAATCATTTCCCATCCGGGGGCGTGCGAGAGAAATGGAAACAGCTCTGCCAGCTGGCTGCCGGGGCGCCAGCCACCATGAGGGCCGTGGTGAGCCCCTCTTGCAGGCTCTTGGGAAGGCCCTCCCCAGGACAGGCCCCAGGGCTGGCTCCTTCCAACCATGTCCTTCCAGCCTTTGGGTTATAATGACTTAGGGTAAATGAGTTACAGCAGATCCTGAGGCTGGAACTTGGGCTAAATCTAAAGGGATTTTGAATCAGTGGTTTCAGCATGATGGTCCTTTGGGTCTGTTTTGACCTCCATGGTGTGAACGACTTGGCAGAGACCCCTGAGACCTGCTTGGATGCTTCTTGGGGGCCCAGCTCCTGGAGTTGGCATGACCCTCAGTTTTCATAGTCACAGAATGCCAGAGCCAGCAGGTCCTAAAGGAAAATTAATCCCAACAGCCTCATTGTACAGATGGGTAGACTGAGGCTCAGAGAGGGAACAGTATCTATCCAAGGTCTATGCCTCAGTGGATGAGGTTGGAATAATAGTAATTTACCGGCTGTTTATAACTTTACTCATAACAACCTGATGTCACTCTTCTCCCCATTTGATGGGGCGGGCGGGGGTGGGGAGGTAACTGAAGGCACAGAAGGTGAAATAACTTCTCTAGATCACAGAGTTAGTTGTAGAGCCAGGATTCTCATCCAGGGAGTTTTGCTCCAGGGCCTGTGTTCCCAGCTTCTACACCAAGCTGCCTCTTGCCGGTGGACTAGGGCTGCCCTTGTTTCTACCCTCCTCGCCTCTCCCATGCTCCTTGGAAGTGGGTATACAGGGCCGCTGATGGGGTACTCCTGGAAATCCCCAACTGACACTCTCACATTGTCTTCATCCATTCACCAAATATGCATTGAGCCCTGCTGGTGCCAGGAACCGTCCTGGGTGCTGGGGATTTGGGAGCAGCCAGAATGGGAGGGGCTGGGAGGCTGGTGATTCCCCTGCCCAGCACCCTCATCTCCTCTGAGGCTGGGTTCTCAGGGGATGGTGTCTGCACAGCACTGTGGTCTCTGCCACGCAGGCAACACACTCAGATACCCAGCCCAGGCCGGGGGCACACGTGAATGCCACAGGCTGACTGGAGACCTGGAGAGTGAGTGTCTTGCCCTTGCCTATCTGAGCAGGACCAACACCCAGCTCCAGTGAATCGCTGCCATGTGGGACTGCCCGTGTGGTGTTGCCAGCCCTTTGGATTTCCCAGAAGAGATGAACATCCACATTTTTACATGGAATCTTCTGTTTCTTCAAAGTTGGCAAAAATAAAAATGGAAAAAAAGAACAGTCACCAGTTTGCAGGCTGTGTTTCCTTTCTTCCATTGCCTCTCTGCAGGCCTGTCTAGGAGGGAGCAGGCTTTCATTCCAGTTAATGAGCCCTGAGGGCCCTTCCCCCCCTGCTATGGAAGACCCCTCCCATTGCAGTCTGTCACCCTCTGTGCTGCACTGCCACCTGGGAGTAGAGGAAAGGTGTGGGCTTTGCATTGTACAGACTCCAGACAGCTGCTGTGCAGCCTTGTTCAAGCCACTTAACCTCTCTGAGCCTGCATTCTTATCTGGAAAACAAAAATTGTGCTTACTAGGTTGTTGACAGAACTAAATGCAAACTGACTAAAACTCAAGTCAAACAGGAGTAGCCTAAAATGGAATTCATGGGCTCAGCACAAGCTTTAGGAAGATCTTGAAAGCTTCAGGTACAGTTGGATCCAGGTGCTCACACTGTCATCAGGACTTGGTCTGTCCATTCTGCCCTGCTTTCTTAGGTATGGCTCCATTCACGGTCAGGCTGCTGTACGAGGTGGCACCGTGGCTGGCTGTGCCCCTACACACAGCAGATTCGCACTTCTATCTTTCAGCAATTCCTGCAACGAAAGGGCTCTTCTCTTCCCACCAGAGTCCCCCAAAGCCCCAGAATTGTCGCTCACAAACTGGCTAGATGCTGTATCCCCTCCTGCACCAATCACTGTGGCTGGATTGCAGATATAAGCGCTGATTGGTCAGTCCTCAGTGGCACTCTACCCCTGGAGTGGAGCATTTGGAGATGGGGTCTCCCCAGGGACACCAGGGGGCCTGGATGCCAGCAGGCAAATCATTCTAACTGGATTGCAAGCCCCATGAGGGTGATGACCTTGTTCACCCATGGTTCCTAGCACCTAGGACAGTGCCTCACACTTGGTAGGATGTGAACGGAGAGGGAGTGAACAGATATGCTTCACAGAGTATGTAAAACACCCGCACAGAGCTAGGCATCAGCCATGTCCACTCCCCTTCCACCTCCTTCCTGGAGGACTTCTGCCTACTGAGCTGCACCTGCCTTCTGGTCAACTGTCACGGCTCCACAGTGCCTCCTCCATGTTTAGCTTGTCAGATCAGTCAGAGAAGCCCAAGTATGCCCGTTTGTTTTGACAAGCCCGACATACAGTAATTATAATCACTAGTGATCACATCACCTTGAATTCACAGGTATTATTCTCTGAAATTATCTTATTCTTTGTTTACTTCCTTATTGCTTCCGCCCAATTCATTCACATTATTTGTTACTCTTTTTAGACTGAGCTGCACTCAGCTTCATTTCATCAAATGTAGGAGGGGGATATAATTCACCCTGCAGGGTTATAGAGAGGATTCAGTGAGATTATACAAAAATGGAACTCACTTGCACAAAGCCTGGCACAAAGTAGGTACTCAAGAAAGGTCAGGTTCCCTTTGAATTCTTTTAAGGCAAGGTCTTATTGGAGCTTAGATGTATAAGCCTTCTCATGAATACATGAGAAGTTACTTAATTCTTAGTAATGACCACTAATGACACACATACACACACATACACAATCACAGAATAGCCCTAGTCTCATAGTGTAGGTGTTAAAAGTGGCCAAGAGTCAATGGATCGGCAAGATAGTTTTTACTCACAGCACAGTAAACAGCAGGATCATGAGCTTGGTATCACTGATCACCCTACTTTCAAGTCCCATAGTGGGGCCAGATGGTAACTATTCACACAGTGAGCTGTGTTGCACCAGAATTCAGGGCTGAGAGCTCAGCAGCTTTTGTAGCAAGCCATAAACAAGTCAGTTTCTCTTCTCCAGGAAGTGAGCAGTTGCACAGTATTCACACCGTCTCCTTGACCGACAATTACCTATATCACTAGCAGCAGAAATGGCTCAGAGTGAGAGGATGGTGAGGCCATCCAGGTGGATATACTCAGCAAGGATGTTTAGGGATGCTCAGGACCCAAGGAGAATTGCCTCTCATGTCACACCACACCCCACCCCTGCCACCTCCCCCCACGCCCCCGCATGCACACGGTACTTGTCCAATCAAATGGTGAGCTGGCTGCTGATAGTGAGCTCCCTGTTGCTGAAGGTATTCATGCATGCTTGGGGATGATGTATACTGTGGTTTTAAGCATCTTGTGAATTAGACTAGTGCATCTCCAACTTTGATGTGCGCACAAATCACCTGGGCAAATCGCCTTGGACCAACTGGTTCAGGAGGACTGTGGTGTGGAACTCAGGATTCTGCATTTCAAACAAGTTTCAGGAGATGCTGAGGCTGCTGGTCCACAGACCATACCTTGAGAAGCAAGAATTTAGATGACTATTGAGGTGCCTTTAATTCGGAGATTCTGGGCGAGACTGGGTGAATACACCACCAGTGAGAACGGCAGGGCAGGATGGAACAGCGAGGGAGGGAGAAGGGAATGGGGGAGAAGTAAAGGTTGATGGGGGCAGGGACTGTGGGCCATTGTCAGGACCCCTGGACTCTTTATGCCTCTGCGGCCCCTCCATCTACAAGCCTTCTCCTCTGGGTCTTATGGTCCAGACAGGGAGACCCCTTTCCTTGTAATCAAAACCCTGAAAAATAACCTCATGGTGTTTCCTCAGGGTCCTGCATCCCCAAATAGAGGCCCCAACTCCACGAATTGGGAGGAGTGTAGGTATGAGGACCTTGCACAGTGTCCAGAAGGGTAGGGGCTGCCTAGCCGAGTGGCTGACGGTGGGTTCCTGTCTCCCTCTGCCTCCTCTGGTGGCCTCGAGGTTTCTTCTCTTCTGGGTTTCACTTTCCTTGTCAAGAAAGGAGGGGCTTGGGTCAGGTCATCTTGGGGCATCCTTTCAGCTCTGCCCTGGTTGGAATCCCAGCCCTGCCTGCTAACAGCCATAGGCGTGGCATGCAGGGAGATCACTTACACTGTCTGGCTTCCTCACTGCATCTTGGGGGTAAGGAGCTGGTTAGACGAAGACACCCTGGGTCTTTAGCACCTGGCAAGCGGTCAATGCAGGACAGCTCTGATTCTCCTTAGAGGAGTCTACGCATCCAGGCCTCTTTCAATTGTGACCTTCCCAGCCACCACTTTGCCATCTGAAAGTGTGGCTTCAACCCAGAGACTGCACCCCTGGCAGCCTGACCCTAGCCCTCCTCAGGTCATACCCCCCATCCCCAGGTTTGGCTGTGGCTGACCTGGTGCTTGGAGTTGGAGCCAGGTTGCCCTCAGGGAATTGTTAGGACTTCAGGGCCCTCTTCCACAGGAACAGCAGGTGGTTGGGAGGAGCCCCCTCTGCCTGCCTCACCCCGAATCACCGATATGCTGGAGGTGGGGGTGGGAGAGGGGCAACCTGGGATTTGTATTTTAATTCTGTTAATACTTGTAAGTTATTTCTTACTTTTTATTGTGAAATAAAATGTAGATAGAAAAGTATAATAAACTTCCACAGAGCTATCACTCAGCCTCAACAATTAATAACCCCTAGGCATCACTAGTATATTTTAAAAATCAGAAATGCATGCATCTGGTATAAAATTCATAAGTCCTGGGTGGGTATGGTGGCTTACACTTGTAATCCCAGCACTTTGGGAGGCCAAGGCGGGAGGATCACGAGGTCAAGAGATCGAGACCATCCTGGTCAACATGGTAAAACCCCATCTCTACTAAAAATACAAAAATTAGCTGGGTATGGTGGCGCGTGCCTGTAGTCTCAGCTACTTGGTGGGCTGAGGCAGGAGAATCACTTGAACCCAGGAGGTGGAGGTTGCAGTGAGCTGAGATTGCGCCACTGCACTCCAGCCTGGGTGACAGAGCGAGACTGTCTAAAAAAAAAAAAAAAAATTCAGTGAGTCCCTCTCCTTCTCCTCTGGCCATCAGCCTAGGAGTATCAGCTGTCACAGCCTAGAGCTGCTCTGAGAATATATGAGCACATATAAATGTGTATGTCCTTTACACTTTATGCAACCGGGCTGTGATTGTTTTATACAACACACATATAGCTTACTGGCTTTGTGCCAGATACTGTCTTAAGCAAATTACAAATATTAACTCATTTATTTCTCATAACAGCCTTACCAAGTAGGTACTATTAACTCATTTATGCCCCAGGTTGCAATTTTTTGAATTTTTGCAATCAGATCTTGGCGATGACCTTGAGCAGTAGGATGTAAATAACTCCCAGTTGCTTAGCATTCCAATAATGGAGCACTAGGCATAAATAGGGTTTTGATAGCCTCAGGCCCAGAGAAGTTAAGGAACTTCCCCAGTGTCACACAGATAGTAAATGATGCAGCTGGAAGTTGAATCGGGGCAGTCCAGCACCAGAGTCCATGCTCTTAACCGCCATTTCTGCTGCTTCTCTTCCTGACTTTGGCTTTGCTTTTACCACCAAATGAGTAATCCGTTCGACAAATGTTTATTGTGTGCCTGCTTTGCACCAGGCACTGTTCTAGTTGCAGGGGATACAGGAGTGAACAAAACAGAGAAACATCTCTGCCTTCCTGGAGTTGATATTCTAGTTGTGAAGGCAGGCAGAAGTGCTACCTAAGTTTGATGGTGACATGCACTCTGGAGAAAAATACAAGGGGCCAGGCGCGATGGCTCATGCCTGTAATCCCAGGCATGAAGCACCTGGGTTTGGGAGGCCGAGGCAGGCAAATCACCTGAGGTCAGGAGTTCGAGACCAACCTGGCCAACACTGCAAAACCCTGACTCTACTAAAAATTCAAAAATTAGCCTGGCGTGGTGGCAGGTGCCTGTAATCCCAGCTAGTAGAGATGCTGAGGCAGGAGAATCACTTGAACCTGGGAGGCAGAGGTTGCAGTGAGCTGAGATCACACCACTGTACTCTAGCCTGGGCAACAGAGCAAGACTCTATCTCAAAAAAAAAAAAAAAAAAGAAAAATTCAGTAAGGAAGGAGTGGTAGCAAGCCTCAGGGGGTTGCAGTTTTAGGTAGGGAAACCAGAGAAAGTGACATTGAGTGAATACCTAGAGGGAGTAGGGGAGTGAGCCACCTTATACAGGGGAAGAGCACTGTAGGCAGAGGGAACAGCCCGTGCTGAGGGTCATGTTGGAGGCAGAGCAAGGCAGCCCCTATCGCTGTGATGGGGGCTGGGGAGTGGGAAGGGAGGGAATCTCAGGGAACAGACAGGCCGTGTCAGGCCGGCACACCGCTGAAGAGCTTTGACGTTTGCACTGCATTAAATGGAGCACCATGGGGGGCTTGAGTGGAGGGCAGGGGCACTTGGTCTGCCATGTGTCATAACAGGCACAACCTGACTATGAATGGACAGCAGGGGTAGAGC